CCCTGCCACTTGGCACATTTAAAGTGGAAAGCATTTTGGCTTCTTAAGACTTCTAATGGGAATACTTCCCCCAATATTTTTTTACCAACGTCTCCTAAAAATAACCATAAGGTGTATTCATCAGTTCCATCTGTTCATTCTAAAATGCCTTCTGAAAAAATTATAAATGCTTTGGGTAAAAAGTATCTCCACCCCTACTCTGACAGTTCAAAGAAAACTATAAACTTTCCTGTCAGAGATGGCCCTAATTGTAGGAACAAAGCTGTCAGAAAGGGCTGTTATGTTTTTCTCCAGAACTCCAGTGCAGGGACGTGTTGAAGTGTAGAAATGAAGTGACAACAAGGCCCAACTAGTGTACAGTCCCGAGGGTTACCATGTCAAGCTGGCACAAGCCATAGCAAGCTGGGGCTGGGGCACAGTATCCTTCTCAGTATAATATTATGCCTCAGGTGAATCAAATGTCTGAAATATTAGCAGTCTATCTGCCAGTTGAGAACTACATTGCACCATTTAGACATAGGAGATCACAAGTAGCGCTGATGCTCAGGTATGTAGGGAGAGTATGGCCATGACTTCAGAAAGTGCACTTTATGTTTGTCTCCGTGTCTGCACAGGGAGGTGGCAGACCATCACTCTCTTCTTTGTGGCCACTTTCTGTTTGCCCTGCAGGCCTTACTCATGAACTCAAGGGGTGCTGTTGCCACCTGTTACTGCTTAGGTGTTAAGTGGGGGAGCCCTACCCCCTTTGCCAATTTGTACCTGAATCAAGCAGGATAACATCTGGTGGCAAATCTTTCATATACCCAGATGAGTAAAATATGGATCAACTAGGCCCAAGGTAGAAAGTTATGCGTAGCCTAGAAAAGGTAAATGCCTTTATTCTCTATTTGGATAAATTCATTCTCAAAAATAAATTGTACTCAGCTTCATGATATTAGCTAAAGCTGCTTATTTATAAAATCCTTCTGGTAGGACTATAAAGCACCAGTGTGAAAACTGAATAGTGTTTGGGGAACTGTGACGTGAGAATACAGCTTTATTGGGATCCCGTGTCAAGTCCTTGCTGGTTGCAGTATAAACTAGTATCTGAATTGAAAACTGCTGGCTGAAGTTTATCAGCGTTTCTTTTAATATTCTTTTGTCTATGAAGAACAGTCCCTAGGTTGATTCAGTAAGGGCCTGAGATGTGTTTTCTTATTTTGCTCAAATGGCTGAAATCTGAAATCTTATCCTATAGCTCATAAAATGTGATTGCGTACAAGATGTTGATGGCCTAAGGGAAGTTTTGAACAACCAAGAGTCATTATCAGGATTTACTGTAGACATGATCCACGATCTTGTCTTTCCAGTAGAACTGCAGAGAGAACAGAAAAGTTGACTGCAAATTTCAGAGACATTACCTATGAAACCCATTCACGCACTTAGTACTCTGGATTAGTGAACAGACAAGGACTTTGCAAAATGTGTATAGAGAGGCCCTTGTAAGCTAGAAGTCTACACAAATACATTTGTCAGTCCTTGTCAGGATGGTTCTAATATGCACACTTGCCATTTTAAGTGGTAAAATAGGAGTATCTTATGAATTTGGCTAAAAATCTGACCCATGCCTGGTCAAGCTACATTTTGAAGATCCAACATTACTAGCTTGGAGGATAGTATAATATGGCAGCGTGTGGTTTGAGAATGGTGGAAGAACTCAGGCACCTTAACTGTGTTGCACAGAATCGGCTAGCAGAATGTTAAAAGCAAAATATAAGTCCTCCTAGATGTGACATCTGTGTGGATCAGAGAGGAAACTGAAACCACTTAGTGTCTCATCTTGCCAAAGTGAGAGGTCTAAACTCTTTTTATTTATAGCTTGTTCTAGTTTACATTAATGTAACCTTTCTTAGAAGGATATTGCCCCAGGTTGCTCACTGACCTGCAGCTTAAATAAACATCACTTCTGATATCAGGCTACTTTTCCTTATGAGTTTATATTTGACAGCTGAGTTGTGTGATTGAACCCCTTATTAGTTGGGCTTTGAAAATCTCAGCCATGGAAATAAAACTTACAAAGATGGCTAGACTATTTGTTAATGTTACTCTCTTGTGCTTGCCTTACATTTCCCTCTGAATTTGGCGTAGTTGAGCTGTTTGTCAAGTGGTCCACAAATGTCTGAGACAGCATAACATGCCACTTTTCTGAGAACAACATATTCAGATGTAAAATTGTAACTTCTTTCCTGCTCTCCACTGCATGTATAATATTTTCTCAGCATACACACACAACTTATAAAATAGCATTAAGAAGAGCTAAGTTCCACATACCCTTAAGACATTTTCTTGCTTGACTACATCCCTGAGCTACCGAAGGGACACAAACCTACATTTAAAAAACAAGACATGAAAGAGAGACAGATTTCTTTCTGATGGCTGCTATTGACAGCCCACATACAGAACACTTAAAAGCACTCAGACATTTCTTTTGTGTCCATATTCAAATAGTTTAATGAAACATATATAAACTGACATTTTTAAACCTAAAGATTTGGGTTTTATTTCCCCAATGTCAGTGTTTCAAATTACAGGGCAAGAGTTTTCCACCATGTGCCTCAAAGTTCAGTCAATGTAAAATGACACCTATTTACAGCCACTGAAAGGATTGTTGTGCTGTTATAACAGGTGGCTGAATAACATCACAGTTAATGTGGGGGAACGCTTTTAGGGAGTAATGTTTTGCCCCACATGACCAAAAGTCACAAGTGACATTATCACACATGTCACTGTATATTAAATTTAGTACCTTTGCAGTGTGTAACACTCTCTTACATTGTACTGCAACATAAAACAAGGGCTTGAATCATTCTAGGCAGAGCCTGTATTTTTTTTCCCCTAAATGCTATTTGGTCTGAATGATAGCAAATGACAGCTCCTATTCCACGCTGCAGCATGCCAAGTCAGACGGAGGTAAGCACGCAGCAGGACAAGCTTGAGAGCAGTTCAGCAAGCCATACATCCAGTCCTACAGAACCCTTAGAGAAGACTCACTTTGCTTATGTATTTTTTTTGAAGCACAAGGAATCTCTCGGGACTTTCCAGCACTAATTATTGCCCTCATTATGAAAAACAGTGCCCTTCTGCAAAGAATGATACAGGTGCTTAACTTCACTGACTCTGGTATCATTAACAAGCGTATGAAGTTAAGCAGACATGTAGTTCTTTGCTAAAAGCCCTCCAGTATAAAGCACATGGAAATAGCCCAAAACCAGCGGTTGGCATTTGCGGACCCCTAAAAAATTTCAAATGGAGGAGCGGACCCCTTTGGAAATTTTGAACGGAGGTGTGGACCCCTTTCAATTGTTAAGTGTGGGTATTTGCATACTTTTGATTGACTGCAGTCATCTTTTGCAGACCCCTGAGACAGTATGTGGACTCCCATGGGTGCGCGGTTGAAAACCTGAACTATGCAGGGTGACAAAAAAAAAAAAAGCAAAAAGCAAAAGGCCATGTTGTAGTACAAACACCCAGGTGTGGACCTGAGTTTTGAAGTCAGGGCTCTGTGCCTGTACTGTTTAGAGCTGCTTAGCTTCTCTCCCCGTGAGCGCACACAGGCACATGCATGGCTTTTTTGGAGGGGCAGGGGCTCTTTGTCTCTTTCATGCAGGTAAGGTCCCAGCTTTAGGTCCCCAAAGCGTCTCCTTTCAGAACCACAGCGGGGTCCATGATCTTTTGATCCCTGGGGAATCCCATGCCTTAATAATGCCACTGGGCAAGCGAGTCCTATAAGGCTCCCTAACTGGGGGTGGGGGAAGGAAGACCCCCCTGCGTCTTGCAGGATCCGCCAGGGCCTTTTCAACCTGTAGCCAGCCCCCTTACCCGGGGGATCAACAGCGGGTGCTGTGCGCTGAATGGGGTGGGGGTGGGGGGAGATCCGGGCCGCACCTCAGCAGCCGCCCGGAGGCTCCTCGCAGCCGCGGACCGGCCCAAGCAGCGCTGAGCCCCGGGCAGCTCGGGA